TAAACACAGCGCCTAAGCACTATGCTTGCAGCGCTTAGGCGTTGCCTCTCAGGTTCAAATTTCATTTTTTTGTGTTTCGCAGCGCTTTGGCGCTTCGAATGCAGGGCCTAAGCACTGTCTTTCTACCCTAATTTTCTTGTTTTTGGTCTCTTGTCTGCTTTAGTACCTCATTTTGCCTCGCCTTTCCCAATCTTCAAAACAACACTAATAAACATATCAAAAATGTTCTATACTCAAGATCTAGTAATTAATCAAGTTAAAATTGTGCAAAATTCATGAGTGAAACAAACTCATCAGTCTTCATTCATTTTTATGATAATACGAGGGAATATAAATTCAAATGGACACGGAATTAATTAAAATGAAACTCAACGTTCTAAAATGGCTACAAGCCATTTTAAGAGCACGAGCTCTCAATTTCGCTTCAAAACACATGGATCGTATTTTGAAATATCATAGAAGATTTAAATAAATTAGACGAGCTAGGTAATGAGTTTCACTATCTCATCTAGATGAATTTAATAGGATTTGAATTAACTTCATTTGTAGTATTGTGAAGTTTACTCACGCGACAAATGTGTTAGTAGGTAAATTCGATCACGACTCGCTTCCCTTAGATCTTATGCTTGTTTATGTTGGACCTCTACCTTTGTGGTGTAAAAGGTAGTGAAATGTGTCTTCATTCATTTTTATGATCATAAGAGGTAATATAAGGGTGTGCTTGATTACGAGCATGGAATTTACACAGAAAAAATAAATTCAATTGCCTAAAAATTATTTGCATAAAAATTGTCAATTAAATGTGTTTGATTGATTTTATTTTCAATTTTGAAAATGTTATACTTATCCATTTTTTATTGATAGGTAGATAGGGGAGAGAGAGGGTAGATGAGAGAGAAAGAAATAGTGAATTACCTGAAAAATAAAAATATACTTCCCCTAAAGAAAATTTTTCCTTGTTTTCGAAGAAAATATGATAACATAATCAAAACTAGGAAAATATTGTTCATGAAAAAATATCAATCAAACAACATAAAAGTGAAATTTTTTTTTGGAAAAATGACATTTTTCAAAGAAAATATTGGCAATCAAACACACTCTAAGTGAAATTGGCACGAATTTAGTTAAAACGATATCCAGCCATTTGATTTGATTGCATGATGTTCTAGTGGACGGACTCTTCACTACAAAACTCCTCGATCTTATTTTAAAATACCGTACAAGAATTGAATAAATTATGCAAATTAAAGTACTGACTTTTGCTATATCATCTAGATGAATTTATTGAAATTTAGTTAATTCGTTCCTAGTCATGTAGTATAGTTATTCGCAAGATACACGTTGCTCATTATAGTGTGAACTTTTTTATTGATCGCGATGTCCTGAGGTAGTGAAAACGTGTTTTCATTTTGATGATATTACGAGGCACTATAAAGTTAAACAGGCGTAGAATTAATTGAAAAGATACACAGTCGTTTAAATCAATTGCATGCCATTTTGGAGAACGCCAATACACTTAATAACCTGACGAGCACAATTTAAAGATTAATTCAAGTAGCTGAACAAAATACATCAAAAACCATCACAGTTTTAACTTTTAATACTACATTCAACAACTGTAGCCATCTATCTATCTATCTATCAATCGCCATAAACAAATTATAGTCAAGCACATAAAAACCGAGTTTCATATATCAAAATAGATATTACATATATCAAACAGACAGAAACATTATTTTATTGTTTAAAATGGGTAAGTGCCATTTAAATTACTTTAAAATGTTATAATATTGTTAAAAAGAGGAGACTTGTCTAATTAGCAAAATATACATCAACAATACCATTGACAATTTAAAGATTGCACCCACCTACAGAAAAACGATACCCAACTACAAAAAACGACATCCGGCTTCATAAAAACAGCATCATTCTATTTTTATATTGTACTGCTTATCTTGCTCACCCAATTGATTTTTTATATTTTTGAGGTAGAACCAATGTTTTAAAAATCGACCTCGATGTTGACCCGAAAAAGTTAAAGGTTCGAGGGTTGAAAGGTCGAACTGGGGTCGGACTGGTTGTAATAAATAAATAAATAATATATCATAACAATTGACAAAATTAAGTTAATTTTTCAAATTAATTAATGTAGAGACAAAAACACCTATTAACGATTACATTTGGGTACATTTAAATTTTATTTTGTCATAAAGTGAAATGTTTAAAACTTCTGTAGTATTTTATTGTGCCAATGTATTTATAAAAAATTAAAAAAAAATCCCATATATTTGATTGAAATTGAAAATATAAATAATTTACACCAACATGATTTTCCATTTTTTTTTTTTAAGTAGAGCTACTGCTTTTTTTAATTTATTTAACTTTTATAGCTGGAAAACTATTTAGTATTTACCAACTTTGCAATCCTTTTATGAATCCCACATCGGAATCTCATATCAAATCCCTTGAAGATCACTTCTATATATATGCAGGCTAATGAGTTCAGGTACTTAATATAAGCCTTTAATTATTGAGGGCTGAAACTATAGGACAATAACATTTAGTTTAGTTATTCAATTGAAAGAATTGGTAATGGGTCATTCAGTTTTCGGCTTCGAGTTACTGTTTTTTTTTTTTGGGTTTTAATTTAATGGTTTTTTTAGTATTAATTGAACCGGATGTTGGATCGGTTCATGATTTTTAAGGTTGAACCGACTGGTTAGGTCCAGTTTTGATAACATTGGGTAGAACATAAATGAAAAATACCAAAAGTCATTAATTTTTCAATAAAGTATACCTTCAATATTATCTTTAATTCGTGGGCCATGGAAATCAATTTGCACCCTTTGGTGTATATTTGTTTTGTTGAATTATGTCTGACGCAACGAATTTTTTTGTGATAATGCATTGTAAGAAGAAGAAATTGGGGTTGAATGAGTTTAGAACTTGTATTTTGAAGAAAAATGAAAATAGAGAATGAAATTGGGGATTTGATCAAGAATATTTAAAACTTTTAACATATAATAATATATATGCCCCTATTTAGTAGAAACTAAAATCTAGATTTTAATCTAAATCAAAGTCAAAATTAATTTTAACCACATATTTTGTGAATCATACAACTTTTCAACCACACATTTCATTAATTTTTATTAAAATCTACTAAAAGTTTGATTTTAGTTTCCATCAGACAAGGCATAGTATAAGCTCTTCAACAAAAAAAACTATTGAGCATAGGCCTTTTAAACAAAATCATATTTAAACAAAGTAAAGAATATTTTAAACTTTTAGACATTTCAAGTAAAGAACATTTTAGACAGTTCAAGTAAAGAACATTTTCTATGTACCAAATACTAAGGATGATCTATTTAGTTTTTTATTTTCATTTTTCAGATAAAAATAGTGTAAATATATTTAACTTTTAATAAACTAGTTCTCACGAGCAATTATTTTTTATGATATTGTTGACACGCTAAAAGTGCAGCCTCGCTGATATCTTGGGCGTCTTGCAAGTTTGGGCGATGGTGTTACCGCATTCGTGGGCTTCCACTGCATTTATTAATAATCTTATTTGAGCTTTTATCCTGAATTGCCCAGTTGAATTTCTTTCTTTGGGCTATTCGATTTGGACTGCACTTTTAGCGTGTCAACAGGTATTTTAAAGTAGTAAAATTTATTATTATTTTGAATGTAAGAAAATTAAGAAATTTCGAGAATGTGTAAAAAATTAAATATTTATTATTCGAATTTTTTAATATTACCAATTGACGACTTCAAGTCATGTTAACTTTAAATCAGTCATCAAGTCTTTGATATATGATTTTAAACATTATTTTGTTTATGTTTGTCTCGCTGGTGCCGATATGTTTGGTCAATTAACCAAATTAAGATTGCCAAAAACCAATAAAAAGTCATTAATAATTCGATGTAGATTTAGGGCTCAAAACCTGCAAAATACCAGAGTTGACATTTAGTTGCAGAATTCCACGTAAATTCTTGAGCGTTGTTATTTGTGATTGATTTATTTTATGTTGCAATTATCTCGCTTCATTCATAACAGAAAATTTTCCCAAAAAACGTGGATGGTGCTGGTATGCTTAGTGTAAAATAAATATAAATGTTTCTTCTTTTCCCATACTTCTTCATCAATTGACCAAATAACAATTGGCTAACACAGATTCATAATGCTTGTTGAAAATTGAACGTTGAGGCAGTTCGCTATGAAATGTTAGCACACGATGACAATTTGTTATTTGTTTTCAATATCATGTTGTCCCATTAAGAGAATCTTACCAACACTTACAACTTGCAAGTGGTATTTACAATTTTACAAACAATAATTACTTTTAATTATACAGGTTGCATATTTCAATGCAATTTCGAGACAATTAGTGCGCATCCATGTAAGTTTTAGGTAAGAACAAACCCTGTAAGTGTTAGGTAAAAACAAATGGAATGAATACAATTAGTGACGTAACGGAAGCTTATAAGAAAGATGAACAAATCTCACAAAAATGAAAAACTCATGAAAATTCTTATTTTTGTCAATCAATGTGGCCTCAAAGGGCTTAAAATGCTTTATACAACGAAAACCCTAGGAAAATTTGAAAAAATAAAAAAAATAATAATAATAAAAGATTTTTTTCCCAAAAATCGAGATAATAACTAAAATTGGAAGTCCTAATCTTCAAAATTATCCTCTAACAAATGAAATTCAAATTCGAATTTATTTGATTGAGATATAATCAAAAATAAAAATTATCAAAAAAGGAAAATAAGCATAAACGAATGCCTAGACGAAGGAATTTGCCCAAAATTGGTTGTGTGTCACGAGCAAAGCTGCTGAGTCCTGTTCATTGGTTTGTTTCCAATCAAATTTGACTAAAATTTCGCAAAAAATGGACAACTCCAAAATTTCTTCAAAAATTGAGAAGCTGCCTATTTCTGCTTGCTTCAGTCTCACTTTGCCATAAAGTCTAATTTTTTTTGCACCACATCAATTAGCCTAGGCAATACTTATTTGGTTAACTGGTTGATCCATTTTCCAGAAAAACTTGTCATTCTCCTCCCTCCATATGTACTCATCTTTCTTTCTTTCATCGCATAGCAAATTTATTACCCATCGCTGGTCAATCTCAGAGATCTCATCGTCCGGCTCACTGGAGGCCTACTAATCAAGTGCCTTCGAAATCCATATCAAATCCCTCTTTGCTATTTTACGATTTGGGTGTGTATTCAAGCTTGTATAGAATTGTATAGATTAATTTGTTAGTAAATCAAGATACTCATTTTTTATTTTCCACAAACAGTTAAAAATGTCTGAAAGTGTCACCGTTTACATTGATACGATGCTTAAAAACATGTCTTACACACTTTTAAAGCCCTCAATATTTAGAGTTGGTGATCATTTACGCAGCATAAATCCAGAGGCTTACGATCCACAAATAATAGCTATTGGCCCGTTTCACCACGATAAACCTCACTTGCAGAACATGGAGCGACACAAACTCAGGTATCTAAGGCTGCTTCTTCAAAAAAAAGAGGAGTCGAGTGTAGAAAGATATGTTGCTGAAATAAGAAGATTGGAAGACAGAGCCCGGAAATGTTATGCTGAAGACATCCACCTTGATGAAGATGAGTTTGTGAAAATGTTGATTCTTGATGGTTTTTTTATTATCGAATTTCTCCGCAAGTTTATACGCAGAGAAGATGTGGATCGAGATGACCCCATTTTCCAGTATGAACATTTACAAATTCAATTGCTTCATGATCTAATGCTATTTGAGAATCAGATTCCATTTTTCATCGTTGATTGTTTGTTCAACATGATCTTTGATGGAGGCATCAATATTATAATATGGCCTTTCCTACGAAATATCATTTTCCCAATGCGAAAGAAAGATTTTCCTGAAGTCCCTATTAATGGCCACCATCTTCTTGGCATTGTACATGACATCCAGTGTTCTTCGTCTACAAGGATATTATCTGATGTGGAATCAGGAAATCCTGCAAAGATGTTATCTAAAATAGATTCTGGAAATCCAGGATCTCCAATTTTCAGGGTGAATATAAATTCAGCTGAAGAGCTCACAGTCTGGGGCAGAGCCAGGAATTTTTTTCAGTGTGGGCAAAATTTAATCAAAGTCGAAATTTTCGATTATGGATTTAATGATATTATGACAATGCTAAAAATAACATAACGACAACACTAATAAGATAATTATCTTCTTCCTTATTCTAGGATCTATAGCAAGTTGTGCAACATCAAAATTCATTTTATTCGCTATCTTCACATCAACATTTTCTACGAAATATTTTCTTTTAAAGAACTCTGCATTGACATTTCACACTAAAATAAACCACAAGTGACAATTAAGTACTAATTGATAAGAAAAGAACTACTAATTTTTACAAATTGGTAGAACACCATAAAATCATTACTAATTATTTAAATAATTGACAAAAATCAAAATTTCAAGAATCAATCACAAATATTACCATTATTTAACATTCACATAATCAAAATCCTTAATATTAAATAGAAAAATCACATGATAAAGAAAATTTTTGCTACAAATTTGAGGGTCCAAAAACATGTGGGTTTTAGGAAAAAAATGGATTTTGAAAATATTTCAAAACGAGAGCAGATTTAAAGAAAATTTTTTAATTTCCTGTTGAGGGAAGAGAGTCAGAAAATGTCACCATACACTTGGAGTTGGGGCAAATTAGTGTATGGGTTGGACTTTAAATAAATGAAAAACATACCTTATAAAAACAAAAAAAAAAAAAATTGACCATGGGCTTGGGCCAAAAGTCCAATGCGGGCATTTGCCTGCACTGGACTGTGCATGGCTCCGCTCACAGAGGCGGGGATTTCCTTCAAAAAGTTGAAAGCTAACAGTTTGTTTGATATTAAATTTGAAAATAAAGTTATGAAGATTCCAGAATGGGAAATTTTTGATTCAACAGAATCATTGTTCCGAAATCTGATTGCATATGAGTACTACCTCACAGGCAGTCCTCAAAAACTTGTGACCGACTACGTATTCGTCATGCATTGTCTCGTCAATTCCCCCGAAGATGCAAAATTGTTACGCCTTAGTGGAATCATTAGCAACTTTCTGGGGAGCGATGAAATGGTTTATCGTCTAATCAACCAGCTAGAAAAGAATATCATAAGTTCTGAAACGTTTTCGTATTCTGATATTTTCGATGATGTGAACGTTCATTGTGGACACAAACGGAATAAATGGATGGCGAAATTAAGGCGAGAATATTTCAACAGTCCATGGGCACTCATTTCTTTCCTTGCTGCCATTATCTTGCTTGTGCTCGCCATCATACAGACTACATTTGCTATTCTATCATTCCGTAAGTTACTCCCTAAACTCTTGTATTTTTTATTGCATAATTTAGCCTCCATTTGGGAAATGTATAAATGATTCCTAAATAAGAATAGTAACGGTTCTAAGAAATGTATGGTTGATAATAAGTAGTAATTAAGAATTTATTCAAATTAATGTTTGACTTGATTGATAGGAACTGACCTTGGATTGTTTAGTTAAAAATGAAACTTTTACCTTTCTTTGAAATGTATTACTTGATAAATGGACCCAAATAGAGGCTTGGTGTAGAAAGACTCATCAAGTAAGTTATTAGGAATTGACCTGGGTTGTTTCGTTAAAAAGCAAGCTTATACCTTTCTTTGAAATGCACATCTATTGTGTGACAGTCAAATGAACTACTAAGAGAAATTTATGTTTGATTATCCAGATATTTAACTATGTAAATGTTATTGCAGGCAACGATCTCAAGGGGAACTTATTCTAAGTGTTTGAAGCTGGCAACAATGTATGGTAACTCAAATTACTATTAACTTCAATGACGATATGGAGCCTTGAATATCCTGAATCATAATAGTGTTTGAATATATATGATGTTCTGTACGATGAATGAATGTTACAAAATAAAGATTTGGCCACATCCTACTAAGTTCTAGTGTAAGCAGTAGAACTAAACAAGGTTTCTCTTTAGTTGTCCTAAGCAGATCTTGAATGTTTGCCTTTATTCTTTCTTTGCTCTTAGTTTAATATATGCTTTCTAGGAAAGGTTCATACGCGACAATGTTCACTGAGCTTCTGAGCTTTAGACATGATAGTCCTGTGTAGGATTGTTTTTTGAGTTAAATCATATGTTCTCAATAATTGAGTCTGCATTCTAGGTTGTTTTATAAGATCCCATCCTACTTCATTGAATGAAGATGGATTAAAATTCAGAGTTAAATCATATGTTCTCAATAATTGAGTCTGCATTCTAGGTTGTTTTATAAGATCCCTTCCTACTTCATTGAATGAAGATGGATTAAAATTCAGAATGTTTCGAACAAAGAAAACCTTGACTTCCCGACATTAAGAAAATAAAGTGTTCTGTTATCTCGCAATGTCATTTTGCTTGGCTTAATATAGACTATGATTATAATAGTGAAATCATGTTGCTCGTGTAATTGGATAACTAGAAACGAGATCTGTCTGTGACAATTGTCTATTCATTGCTTTGTTGGCACATTAGCAGAAGTAATCCTAGATGAAATTCACAATTAAAATGTGAACAACAGTTTTGCATAAACCCATTCTATCCTCTTCTAGGTTGCTCTAAACAAAATCGTAAACTTGTACAGTCCATTGCACTTCTCAGAATACACAACTAATTTAGGAATTGGAGTGCTTCTACTACTCTCTAGTGGCAAAACATTCTAGCTCTGGATGAGTGTGCAAAGTAGGGCTACAGATTTGGCTCTTCTTGTTAGCACAAATCTCATCCAGATGTCAGTATACATAGGGCAAGTTTGTCATGACTTTTACTTTTGCTTTTACTTTTACTTTTACTTTTACTTCTTATAAGATAGCTTTTGGAGGAAAGTGTCTTAATTTTCATCTGAAAATTAATTTTTAAAAACACTTTCTATTCCATAAGTACTTTTAAAGTAAGCAACGTTGAACCAGTTTCCTCTAAAAACTCTTCTAACTGCTAGAAGTACTTTAATCAAATTAGCAAAACTAGTCCAAATACAACTTTTGAATCTCAAAAGTTCTTTTTGACTTTTCAAAGTCATGCCAAATGGATCCTTAAAACCTAAATACTATCTTTTTTTTTTTTTTTTTTTTTTTTTAAAGAAAGAAAAACTAAATTAATTGTGGAGAAATATTCATTTGAGCAAGAACAGGAAAAAAAAAAAAAAAAAGGATTTTTCTTTAACTTAAAATTAATCTTTGAGACCTTATAAAAAAAATTTGAGGGGAAAATGTCATTTGGCCCCTACAGCCTTTCTTTTCAAAACATTGAAAATACTGAAATCATTTTTTTTTTTCCTTTTTTTTTTTTTTTAAACAAATCAACTACATAGATTAGTATAGTTGCTAAACGTTTTTAGCAGAACTTGTTGAAAGTTTTGGTTCAAATTAATTTATCTGTATTAAATAAAAAAGAATAATGGAAGATAATTTTTTTGGTAAAATCATTATGTAGGTCCTACTAAGCATTGAATATAAGGCACATTGTACCTACTCAGTGTATTAGTGAAGAGACGTTCACAAACAAGGAGGGGATATTAAAAACCTTACCTCCAGAATTACATAGGGGCCTAGTGTAATGTGGCTTACTTCTCTATATATATATAAATAAGGGTGGAAATTGAAGAGAAAAGGAAAGAAAAATACCAAATTAGTGCCAAAATCATTAAAATACATTTGAGAATTGTGAAAAAGACTAATTCTAAAAAGCAACGCATGGCTGACGGAAAAAAGATTAATTTACTCTTAAAAATTCTTTTTTATACCAAGTTGTAGGGTATGTCGATTTAGAAATATTCATAAATATTAAACTATTATTAACTCCAATATTGAATTGAAGTAAATGAATATTTATGAGATTTAATTCATTTTGATGGAAATAATTTATTTTAATCTCACACACGATTCCATTCAGTGCAATTAAGTCATATGATCATCTTGTCATTGCTCTAGAGTATAGACAAAGCAACTCGATAAGCCTTAAAATTATAACCTAAATAAAATGTCCAACTTTAATCTATGAAGAAGTTAAATTGATGATAAAATAACTTGTATTTATATCTTGTGTGAGTATCTATGAACTTTCGTAAATACATATAATGTTTTTTAACAGGTGCACGATTCATTGAAATATGTTTAGTCCGATGTATGAAGTGTTACATATTAATGACTCTTAGGTTACAGATTTTGTATTAGTGCTTGCCCTGTTTTCTGTATTTTTTCGAGCACACTTTGTTGGACATATTAGCAGAACATTATGTTTTGTTTACTTCAGTACTAATCGATGAAGATCTACCTTAGGGTCATGAGGCTAGAAGTTTTCGCAATTGTTTGAACGTTACATCCGAAAAATAGTCCATATGAAGTGGCCGAATGTGTGCCAACTGCCCAGTGCCCCTGTCAGAAGCTGATTTTAATATATTCTACAAATTTTCGAATGTCGATACGTAATCAGGTAGACACGTCGTTTCAAATAGTTCACGTTAAACTAGGCAATATATTTTTTGTCATGGAAAATCGTCAACTTCCGAAGCTGTATGACCACCTCAAAAGTAAGCTGCTCGACTAACCGAAATGGTTCACCAACTTTACACAAAATTTCACCCCGTAACTCAACTTTTGCCTATGTTCAATTGGACCCTGAAATAGCTTGCAAGATTCATTTTAGGTCCAAAATACAGTAGAGCGTCTATCGGATAATAATGTAGGGGCCGAGTAATTTTTTTATATTTTTTTATAAAAATTATTAATTTATCGCTTAGTTGACGCACCTTTTTTTTTTTTTTTAATTCTTGTGTAATTCTTTGTATTATAAATTTTTAATTTTCAAATTTAAATATTTTAATTAAAAAAAATGGAATGATTATTTAGTCCTTTTTAATATTTGAATATAGTAGCCAAATGGGTTGATTAACGATAAATGGATAGAAATCATCCATTTGCATGAATCGTGTTAATGTTTCAAATGTTGGGAACGAATTTGAAAATATGTTGAAAGATTGGGAACGTTTGCTAGTGCTATTTACCCTAATAAGTATGTCTCATAAAAATTAATTAAAAGCATTTGGACGATTTTACACTTTTAAAGTATAGCATATGAAAGCGCTTAATATCAATAAATGACAAAAAGG